TTGAGAAGAAGTATATTCTGTTGCTTAGGGATGCAGAGTTCTAAATATATCCGTCAAGTCTGCCTGATCCAATATATCATTCAGGGCCCTTGTTTCTCTTCTGTTACCTTGTTAGCTCTTCCTGATAGATAGGCCCTGTAATTACTATATAATGCCCTTCTTCCTCTCTTGTTACAGCCTTTAATTTAAAGTCTAGTTTGTCTGATATAAATATGGCTACTCCAGCTTTCTTTTGACTTCCGGTAGTATGATAGATAGTTCTCCATCCCCTCACTTTCAATCTGAAAGTGTCCTCAGGTCTAAAAGAGTCTCTTGTAGACAGCAAATAGATGGGTCTTGTTTTTTTTGTTTTTTTTTTTTAATCCATTCTGATACTCTGTGTCTTTTGGTTGGAGCATTTAGTCCATTTACATTCAGTGTTATTATGGAAAGATACGACTTTAGAGTCATTGTGGTATCTGTAGGTTTCATGCTTGTAGTGATGTCTCTGGTACTTTGTGGTCCTTGCAGCATTTCACTTGCAGAATCCCCCTTAAGATCTCTTGTAGGGCTGGTTTAGTGGTGATGAATTCCCTCAGTTTTTGTTTGGGAAAACCTTTATCTCTCTTTTTCTGTACTGAATGACAGACTTGCTGGGTAAAGGATTCTTGGTTGCATATTTTTTTCTGTTCATCACATTCAAGATTTCCTGTCATTCCTTTCTGGCCAAGTTTCAGTAGGTGGGTTTGCTACTACCCTTATGTATCTACCTTTGAATGATAAGGCCTGTTTATCCCTAGCTGCTTTCATAATTCTCTCTTTATCCTTGTATTTTGCCTATTTCACTATATGTTGTGCAGAAGATTGATTCAAGTTACATCTGAAGGGAGTTCTCTGTGCCTCTTGGATTTCAGTGCCTGTTTCCTTCCCCAGATCAGGGAAGTTCTTAGCTATGAATTGTTCAAGTACACCTTCAGCCCCTTTCCCTGTCGTCGTTGTCTTCTTCTTCTTCTTCTTCTTCTTCTTCTTCTTCTTCTTCTTCTTCTTCTTCTTCTTCTCTCCTTCTTCTCCTCCTCCTCTTCCTCTTTCTTCTTTTTCTCCTTCTCCTCCTTTTCCTCCTCCTTCTTCTCCTCCTTCTTCTTCTGGAATTCCTATGATGTGGATATTGCTCTGTTTGATTGTGTCACTTAGTTCTCTAATTCTCCCCTCGTACTCCTGGATTTTTCTATCCTTTTTCTCAGCTTCCTCTTTTTCCATAATTTTATCTTTTAACTCACCTATTCTCTCCTCTGCCTCTTCAATCTGCACTGTGGCTGCCTCCTTTTTATTTTGCACCTCATTTATAGCATTGTTAAATTCATCCTATTTTTTTAGACCCATGATATCTGTAGCAATAGATTCTCTGCTGTCCTCTATGCCTTTTTCAAGCCCAGCAATTAATTTTATCATTATTATTCTAAATTCTTGTTCCATTACATTGCTTGAATCGGTTTTGATCAATTCGCTAGCTGTCGCTAATTCCTGGAATTTCTTTTGAGGAGAATTCTTCCGTTTCGTCATTTCGGCTAATTTTCTGTCCCTTGTGCATTTTAAAAGCTTGTTGTGTGCTTTGCACTGGCGAGCTATATTAAAGGAGGGTCATACCCTGTCCAGGGCCTGGCCCTTCTGGAGGTGTTTTTCCGGAGATTGTTACTTGCTCTCTGTTGTTGTGACTTTGGTTATTTTATTACGCTATTTGTAGTGATAATTTTGACCGTCCACCAGGTGTGCTTTGATTTGTTCCTTGGAGTAGCCCTGGAAAGGAAAACAAATAGACAAACAGGAGAGAGAAACACGCAAACAAACAAATAACACAAATAAACAAAAACAAAAAAGTAAAGACTAAAGAAGATGGTGGAGACGGTGCTGATGGAAGAGCACACCCAAAGAGAGAAAAAATACACCTTGATTATGCAGAGAGACTAAAAGGCTTAATCCAGAGAGAGAGAAAGGAAAATAAAGAAGGGGGTGGGGAAAACCTAACGAAGATTAAGTTACCCAGACAGAGAAACTATGTGGCTTA